CATTAGCGCTATGCATTATCACCAACAGCAGTATAACCAGAATGATAAGAAAATAAATGGTGAAAATGTTGGGAGTGATGAGTTTAAAAGACATGAAGGATTTGGATGAAAGAAATGCTGTCAGAATTAAAATCTGATCATTCAAAAATTTGTGCAGTCCTCACTTGGGGCGAGTTACCATAAACAGGAAACAATGTCTCTTTCTCTATCAAAATTGTTGATTAGTGAAAAGAATGCTTAAGGCAGAATTGTGGCAGAGTGGCCCAAAGGTTACATTGCTTCGTTAATTTTTTTTTCCATTTATTTCTTAATTGAAGAAATACTTAGAATTTATTTAATTGAAAATTAATTTAATCGTAAATAATTACTACTACTACTACTACTATTACTACTACTACTACTACTACTACTACTACTACTACTACTACTACTACTACTACTACTATTATTATTATTATTATTATTATTATTTTTTGCAGCTATAAGAAGAAATGTTAAATGACTAATTATAAATTTCTAACTTTGCAATTTAAATAATATTTTATTTTCTCTCAGGAAAATGTTTCCCTTTGAATAAATTAAAGAAAAATAAATGGGTGTTAATGTCCATTTGAGATTGATTATACAAGTCATTTCTGCCTTACAATTTTGCTATGATCTTTCATAAAATTTATAGTTTTCATTTAGATTTCTTCGCTTTAACGGCAAGTGAAAAAGTTATTTTATTTTTGTTTGATCTATCCTACTAAGTAGATGCAATAATTAATCGAGCAAGCTAGGCATCATAAAGTAAACGTTGATGACAATATTTGCATTGTAATAGCGACAATTCTGGTTCTTGAGGTAATTTTCTCATAAAATTTTAGTAATTGTCATAGATATGTGAATCACAATAGTCATGTAATAAAAAAATTTTCCAGTCACGAGGTTAGTTCTAGAATGCAGCTAAAAAATCACTACATAGCATTTTCATATCACTATTACTGGAGAGAACAATAGTAGGAGTTTTGTTATATTTTCATTTTCACGTTGTTCACTTATTTAAGCTAATAACACAGCCCATTTATGGAAACTGGGGCATGATCAATGCTAAGGAATTTATTCACATAAAAAATATGGTAAGCCTCTGTGCACGTTATTTATGTCTTACATGTTTGTTATTGAAATTCTGATTTCATTATATAAGTTATTTTTTATTTATAGCCATATAACCATCAACAACACATATGAGAACAACAACACATAGGCTTTCTCATTCTAGAAAATGAGTAAGTTTCCATCTACGAATAAGCTAAAACTACTATTGAATTGAAGTTTAAACTTAAAAAGACTCCTCATGCATCTATTTTAGCAGATGACAAGAAATCGTTTGAAATATTAATAGTAGCTCTCCCTCCATGCAGAAAGATAATCTGAAAAAGGCTATTGGAATTGAGCCAAAGTTTGCTAAAAATGTATTATTTTGTAAGGTTTTCCTTTTATTTTTATAATGTTATAAGATCATTGTCATAGTTTCTAATCTAATAAACTTAGATAGATTGAAAATTCATTTGATGAGATGCATGCAAAATTAGCCGATGCAAAAATTACAGCAAAGACCGAATTGGCTAAGGCTCAAAGTGTGATGAAAAATGCTCAAAAGAAGTTCATGGAGGCAGATGAAAATATGATGAAGAATGTGACTAATGGATGGAAAATGAGTGTATTAATTATTTTTCTCCTTTAAAGTTCTATTTTGGAATAATGCTGCAATAATGTGCTAAAGCTCATTTCCCATAATTTGTTTTCCTTAAGTACAGGGAGAGAAACTACCCAAAAAGATAGACTTTATTGCGAAGGACATTGGGCAACTTGTAACTTTGCATCGTCTAAAGTGGCTTGTCATAAAAGTAGCAACTAATAAATATTATTCAATGTATAATACTTTTAAAAAAAATTCTTTACAAAGTACTTCATCATCTAGAATAACAGTAACTTTATTCTTCAAGAATGTGTAATTTGAATTAATCCAACTGCAATAAAAATTATTATTAGTCATTTCTCATACTTATAATCCATATAATCAAGACAATTCTTCATTGGTTATAGCAAAGCCCAAAATAGCATAACCAAGAAATTTTCTCTTGCCTCAAAAATTAACAGCTCATATAGTAAAAGAATGCTTTTTCACATTCATGAAAATGTTAAGTTTTACAATATCCTAACCATTTCTCAACTAGACTTGACTTGTGGTACGCTATTCATGAACTCAAAAAAAATTCATTTGGGATTAAGTGGAGATTCCTATTTATGTACACATTTAAAATTTTTGTGTACTTATTTTTTATTTGAATTGCTAACTATAAAATATTTGCTACATGCAGGTCGAACCATGGAAAGCTTATCATTATGGATTACAACATCTTCTTTATTGAAGGACTAAATTTATGCTTTGGCCAATATGACACAACTGAGCACAAAGTAGATGATTTCCCTCCTTTTCTATAGCTTAAAAAAACTTTTATAATTCAAACTACGTATTTTTTTTCATTAAAATGTGTAAGATCTATAGACAACTATTGAAACTTGGAATTAATAACAAACTTCAATCAATTGGAATATATGAAATATTTTATGTCAGCATCTCGATAGTCAAACTTCAATTGGTTAATAGATTTAATCACAATACTACCTCTGTTTTTAACTTATTGATTCTTGAACCATATGTTACAAATTTCGATAGTGAATATAAAACATATCCTAAATAGAGAAATCATAGCATCGTCCCATAAATAGACCTACTAGGTAAGTAACTAAAAGCCAATAATATTAATCACTATTTTTTATTGAAGTTTGATTTTCTTCTCAATAGGTAAAAGATATGTAAAGCACTCAAGGGTTTTTGATATATATATTAACTCCTTTGAATTTTATATAGAATCGGAACCAAATTTTTCGAAAAATGCTGTGAAAGATGAATTCAACCAAAAGAAATATCCTCATATAACATGACACAATGTTCATTGCACTCTTTAAGGATCATCTTGTACAGACATTGCCCGGCACTTCATTCAGCGTTGGAACCATGAAAAGGTTGAACTTTCATACTTGTTTCTACTCGTTAATTTTTTTTAATAAACAAAAATTACCATTACTCATGCAACAACACCACATGGTTTAACTTATTAGATGGGAAGAAGCAAAGTGATAGACATTATAAAAATTCTGAAGTGAAACAGAAGGACATGAGCATGAATGATTATTTTTCATCAAAGACACTGCTAGAAGAAGTTCCATTGATTTTACCTCCCGAATCAAATGAACCAAAAATTAAAAATTGGCAACATCTGTTTCAATCAATCTTTTTTAGAATTACTGATTGTTTAAATACTATATATGTAAAACATTCAATCTATGGATAATGGATGTTGTGGTTTACTTGAATTAATTGCTAAGTATCCAAAATGAAAATATAGATTGTTCAATTATTGCTTCAATTATCACTTCTTTTACACTCTTCTATTACAAATGCTCAATTCTTTGTTTTCCCATTTTCCCTATTTCTCATATGTGAACATAAAAATATAGTGTTAGCTGTGTTTGCTTTATAGTTCATATTTTATGGCTGATGATGAATAAAATATAGATACTTTATATGTCATATTTATTTTTTTCTCTCTTTTTTAGAAAGATTGCTTTAATATATTTTCCTTTTTAAGAAAGCTCCATTTTCTGTTTCTCATATATAAAGAAAAAAGAGAGTAAAGAAATTCTCTCTAAAAATGTATTATTTTTTTCTATTTGTCGAAAATCAACTAAATACTTTCTTTGCTTCCAAAAAATTCATTCAATATATTTCTCTCTCGTAAATACTCAATACTCAAGTAAGTCACCACACTAATATCACCTTCAAGAAAAATCAAGCCATGCATTGCATGGCCAAACACTAGTATAATAAATAAATATGCGTAATAAGTTTTATGTAGGAATGTCAAACAGGCCGAGCGGCTCGTCGGCTCGGCCGCTCGACTCGTTAAAACTCAGCTCGTGGGGGACTCGAGCTCGTCAAATGACGAGCCCAAGCCGAGGAAGGGGCTCAATCCCACGAGTCGAGCCCACTAGTGGCTCGTGGACCGTGTGCCCATGAGCCATTTTTGACAAGCCCACGAGCCTCGTCAAAAAATGTGAAGAAAAGTCAAAAAATCCAAAAAAAACTTAAAAATCACGAGCTCGCGAGCGGCTCGTGGGCTCGGCTCGACCCTTGAACTCGTGGCTCCTTAACTCACGAGCTCGGCTCGACCTATTGACATCACTAGTTTTATGTCATTTATATGTTTTTTAAAGGATTTTTGTATTTTCAATTTTTATTAGTTTATTGTGTTTGCATATGATAATTTTATTTTAAAGAATTTTATAAATATAATTTTCGTTTTTCTTTAACTAACAAATTTACCTTATATAATTTGGGGCCCTCACTAAAGCGGAGCTTTAGATGATCGCCTATAGTCAAGGTCACTGTTGCTGTTGTTGGTGCTGTAGGGGCTGATAAATGGCTCATCATTGCCCTCTTGTTCTTATTGTTTGATTTTCAAATGAATTTACTTTCTTCATGTGCCCCAAAAAAACATCATATATGGATAGTGTCTGCCTCCGGAGTTGGAGGTTGAGGGCTTCATTGGCTGTTTCTTGATAAAGCCTCTCTACTGTGGACCCTACCCAGATATGGCAAACCAATGAATCCCAACGCCCACAACTTCGCACAAAAGTCTGGCATATTTAGATCCACACGATAGACTTAACGATGTAAACAAGAAAATTGTTTGATAAATTACTTTTGTTTATATTTATATATAAAATAATTTGTTTCTTTTCCAGTTAAGAAATTATTTTAAAAGAAATAAATTGTTTGAGAATTTAATGGCTCTTCTACTGGACAGAAAATACTCAAAATGGGGTATACTCTTAAGCTTGTCAGTAAGAATACGGCTAGAGAAAAACCATGTTGGCAGCCCAAAAAAAAAAAAAGATTAAATTATGTAAAATTTCATTTCATGTCAAATAAATTCCAACTACAATTTCTCCACTAAAAAGGGCAAGAAAGCTGCAAAAAAATTGGTAAAACAGGTAACAGACTAACAAAAACAGTGGTTTCGGATGCAGAAAACAAAATCGTCAAAAATATTCCGTTCTAAAACTTTTCACTCATCGTCGTCGTCATCTTCATCTCCTGCTCCTGCAGCATTTAGTGCATTCAATCTTTCAATCAAACGAGCTTTCCTCTCTTCGTAGGTGAGCTTCTTCAAGTTGTACCTGGGTACAAAATAGGCAGAAAAGAATAACCAAGCACTCACATTAACATCTCAATATGCTCATGAAAGGAATGAAGTCAGTTGCCAAACCAATAAGCTATAATCATGCTCGTAAAATATGAATAAAAAATGCACAAATTAGAAATTGTTTGGGAATAGATTATAATAGGTTTAAATTAGTACTTGAGCATCCCGGAAAAGTGTATATAAAAAGTAGGTTTGACTGATTATGATTATAAATTTAAAGGTGCCAAACAAGGGATAAATCATCTGAAAGTATTTTACGAATAGGCCAATCAAATTTCAACAGGCATGAACCCCGGGCAACTGACATTTGCAAATAAGAACCATTGCACATAGAAGAATTCATGACAACTTGGACAGACTGGATCCAACGTAAGTGTAAAACTATTTCAATACCTCTTGTGTTCCTTAGGTGGCCGTTTTTCAGATTTCTTCACAGTAGGGTCAGCACGGATGGCCGCATGGACTTTCTTGTACAATTCCTCAAGGCCATCTGGCTCAAGTCCGTTCTTGATATACTCACTGAAGTGTGATTGATACTTTTCTGGTTCATCTTCCATCAATGTCTGAAATATTTAACACAAACTGACGAAGTCAGATTACCTTTCTTTAATCATCCAAGTTATCTCCAGTCACAGTCATAGAAAAGTAAGAATTCAGAAATTCGACATCACCGTCATGTATGCAGCAATGTGGCCACCATAAATGTATTTCCTGTGAACCTCAGCATCAAGCTGCTTAGAATCCTTCACAAATCCAGCAAACCTCTTGTCACTGTGGGGAACATCTAATCCTCCATCCAGCGCTCCCTGCAATTAGTAACAAAAATATTACATTCAACATGGATGTATGCTAAGAAAGTGCAGTTGGTTCTATGAACCGTGTTACTGTCTAGAGAACAAAGAATCACTGAGCATCATAAGCCATTACCACAAAAGTCTATGACCAATGAGGAAAAAACTCAAGAAACCTTTTTCAGATAGTTTTCAGTATCAAAAGTCCATAATTAAGCAGTTGGAAACCTTTTAACATTCGAAAAGGTAAATGAATCTAGTAATCTATACATCTTTATATTTAACCTATAAATCAGCAGCTTTTATATATATCAAAAGATTCAATAAACAAATTCAAAGTTAACAGGATTAATAAATGATATTCTCAGAAGAGACTCATTAGTAAAGAAGCAAACAAGACATCGCAATTCCAAGACTTGCATGATTAACAAATGAAATTATAGGGGAGGAAAGCAACTTTTCTATGACCAACTAAACTTTTATTACAAATCATTTGGCTCTTTCAACTTCTGATTCAGACATATATAACAGTCACGTGTTAAAATTGTTCGGTGCCACGTAACAAATGGTGCACGATTATATGGCCCATGTTTGGTAGAAATTAAAATCAAGATTTTAATTCAAGTCAAAGTAAATAATTTATTTTAACCACACATTTCATAGGATCAACAATTTTTCAACCACATATCCCATGGGACCCACAACTTTTCAACCACACATTTCATCAATTTCTATCAAAATCTACTAAATTCTTATTTGTTATCCCCACCAAACAGGGCAAAATATCTCCCAAAAGCGTTTTCAAAGGCATTGCAAATGTCATAAAAAGTTGAGAAACAAACTTAGCTACTAGGAACAGAAATACACTGAGGAGACCGAAGTTGAAGTTTAGTAAAATAAAACTCTCTGATTAGTAATCCAATTACATTGTCTTCATTAAGAAATCACCCAAGTCTCTGTTGAGTTGAAAAAAGTGTAAAATTACCACTTTTTAGCATAATTAGGAAGCCAAATTAAACAGAGATATATTTACCCCACAGCTATAGAAGTTATGACACAGCATGGGAATATGTCATCAAGAAAGATATGCTGCAGTTTATGGCGAATCATTAAGTGAATAATGTGCATAAAACAAAGGAGGAATGCTAAATAAAGCACACAAGAACATGCTTTAGACATACCTTCAGAGCACCAAAAACACGATTTCCAGTAGTTGTTCTAATAAGACCTACATCAAGAAGAGCACGAAAAGCCCTTCTGCTCTCAGCTGGCTCAACTGAGTAATCCTCTCCAGTTGCCTAACAATAGAAAGGTTTCAGAAGAAGAGATACAGACAGAGGAATAACAATGCTATAATGATATGATATTAGACTTGAAATGCCACGGTAGTACCTCCACATTGCCTTCATACTCGTCATCCATCTCAAGCGTTTTTAAGACACGGCGAGCCAAAAGAAGCCCAGTACAGTAAGCTGATCACAAGATTGAAATTACTATCCCCTCAAATAATGTGAGCAAAAGGGATATAGAGGTAGCCTTCTTTGGGGAAAGATATCCAGGGTGAAGGGGGAGGGAGTGACACCATTGTGATACCTGCTGCATAATTTGTGAGACCCACTTCAAGTCCGTAGCGAGGCAGTTCATGGGCATATGCTGCAGCCATAACAATATCTCCAGCTATACTAGCAGATACTATTTGTGCAATAATATCTTGGTTGGTCTATAATGACATTAAGGTTCTCAACTTTAAATAAAGTATAACAATATCCCATATTTTTTCTTCATTGAGAAGTAACTGAATAAGACAAATAGAAATAAATATTTGGATCCACATTTTCCATTGTAGACATAAAGGCTGCAAGGTTTTTTCACTTGGAACACTAAAAGCAGAGTAAGAGAAACTCCTGAATAAACAAATGCTGTTTAGCAGTTACGAATTACGCGGATACAAATCGCACGACAAATCGATACTTTGGAGTGTTGTATTTATTCTTGTCCTGATTAATTAGGCGAATCCTTGCCCTATAATCAGTTTTCCCCTCTGCATTTTGACAAAAACAAACGTCTCAATAGAACCATACACTGTGTATCCATTAAATATGGCAACAAATATCTGCAGCACAGACAAATGCAGAATACAAAGCTCATGCTATACCTCTCCTTCTCTTATACTTGACCTGAAACCTCTTGAAGTATGCCTTTGACTTTTGTGCTTTGACAAAGGCCTGACATGAACATGTTATCACTAGGTCATTTATTTTGAATGTCATTATTCACAGTGGTACAAAACATGGTGCCACATATATTTTATACATACGCGCCTATAAGCATGAGTTGACTGTGCAAGCACGAACTCACAACTTAAAGTAACTGCATTAAAGATGCCAATGTATACTAAATTAAACGTATAACAGATAAATTTAATCACTCCTCCGCATAACTAAATTTTATATCTGAAACTTAATTGCAAAAAAACATATAAAGCCGTAAAAAGAAACCTAATTATCGGAAGTCAGATATCTGCTTAAGCTATACCTTGACAGGGCAACGATGAGATTTGAAACTATAATACAACATAAAACAACAAGAAATATTGCCTTTGAAGTCGAACAAAATTAATCTAGTGAATAAAGTTCAATTAAATAGATAAAAATGTATTCCCAATACCATATTATTTAAAGCTTCCAAACTTTTTGCCAGGTCAACAGTTCCAAAAGAAACCAGGAATACCGAATACAATTTTTTGTTATTATTTTTTAACTAGATAGATCTAAATCCACTTACCTTAAGAAATGCAAAAATTAGAAAAATGATTTATAAACCCAGAATTTTCAATTCCTTTCACTATATCATTTTTCTGAATTTTCAACTAGACAAGATATATCTAATTAAAAGAAAACGCGCACACGCACAAACTTAAACCTGATTTTTACTCTTTCACTAGTTCTACGCTAAATTTCTCAGCAGGCAATTATTAACAGTTTGAGTTGAAATTCCCAAAAGCATCAGACAAGTACTCAGACGTGTAATGCGTAAACACGTAAATGGGACATGAAAAAATGGTCACAAAAAAAAAAAAGATGGAAAAAGAGTAAGAAAATAAAAAAATGGACAAAAAAAAAAAAAAAAAGATGGAAAAAGAGTAAGAAAAAGAAGAAAATATCCACACTCAATTACCGTGAATGTACGAAAAAATAAATGATGATCAACAAAAGTAAAAACCCAGAACATTCTTTCCATTTTACTGCATTTTAAAAATATAGAATCCAATTCAAGAAAGACAAATTTAAATCCCGACTTTACTCTTTCACTACAATTTCTTAGCGGACAAATATTAACAGAATGAGATGAAATTCCCACAAAAGTCAGACAACAATGCATGTGCAAACATGTAAATGTAAAAAAATTAATAAAAGAAATAAAAATAAGTAAAGGGTTAAGAAGTGTCACCATTGTTGTTGAAGCGAGAAAATGATACTCCGTTGCAGGAAGGATGGCGAAAATGGTGATTTAAGAATTTTATATCTAGACCCTAAACCTATTTGTCTGGCCCAACGACCCAAAATTTTGGTCTGAAACGGCCCATGTGGAGGGGACTGGTTGGCCCATAATTTGTAGTTTGATATTTTAGGGTGTTTGATAGATATTTTTATGTAAAAATGTATTTTAGAATAGTAAATTGATATGAAATATGTGGTTGAAAAATAATGAAAAGTTTTTAATTTACGTGTAATATTATTTTAATAAAGAATGTGTGGTTGAAAAGAAGAGAGAAAAATTCATTTTGAAAAAAATGACTACCAAACGGGGCCTTTATTTTTGTTTAAGCTCCATTATTTGATACAGATAAAGTTTGAAATAATGAATTTTTGAAGAATGTGTTGTTGAAAATAAAAAAGAAAAAAAATTAAATTTAAGTGTAATATTATTTATTTAGAAATATATGATTGAAAATGAGTTTAGAGAAAAAAATATTATTGAAAATTTGGGATCAAACGAGGGCTTAATTAGATTTCAATTAACATGCGTTTGGTTGCCTAATAGGTCACTTATAATGCAAAAAATAACTGATTTGTAAAATTTGTTAATAATAAGTACTACTATACAGTAATTATGAATGTGTAATTAAAAATAAAGATTGACTTTAACCATTGCTTATAAGTAACTAATAAGAAAGCACAAACACCCGCTTATTATGTGTTTGGCTAACAATATTTGTTGACATCAAAATTTGAAAAGATTAATTTCGAGTCAACTTTAAGAAAATGACAGTCTTCCTCTATTATGAAAAGGCCAAAATGCATGTGTAGAAGACTAAATTGTGTAATGTGTTTGCCAGAAACTTCACAAGCCCTTTAAGAGAATCATTTCCTTGCTATTTATACTTGACTCCAGCCGAAATTACATCAAATCAATCAAATCAACTACAAAACTGAGCTCAAAAGTCAGGTCGTTGAATTCTCCTATAATTGGTTGAAGAGGGTGGTTGCCATGTGCCAATGTTTTTATCAGATAATGATGGCTTGCAAGATGTTGGAGATTCAGGGCCTTGGATTGGTGGCTTTGGACAATAATAATGTCACCCTCTACAAGTATATGTGAATGAGAGGATGATATGACAAGAGGAAATCATTATGTCTCTTGAAACTATGACGGTAGTGTACCAATCTGAAGTGTATGGCCGAACTCACATATGCCTGAGGTGAGGCCTGCGAATGACAATTATGAAATCAAAGGTCGGTGGTTAACAATATTAGTGATAGTAACTTACTTCTACTACCTAATCATAGTTAAACTATAATTTCAACAACACATTCATAATTATTACTCATTTTTATCTACACATTTCGTGATCCCACCACTATCCCTCCTACAAAGTTCCTAATAATTTGATAATAATCAATCTCGAACCCTAACTTGCTTATTTTAAAGTCCAATCGAAGAAGTCTATATATTAGAATAAGACAAGAATGAAAGGCTCTGCCTTGAACTTAAACCTCGATCTTTGTTAAAGAATAAACTTACAAACATTCTTTCAATTAAATCCACTAAGCTTGACATCATAGTCCATATGCAGTCAACTTCTCAACTCGACCACCTTACTAGCTAACTGAACTGCTCATTTCACATGGAGGGAGCGATGTCCGCAATTATTTAAAATAATTGCGAGACACATCCATGTAAGAGGACCGTCTGCACCTAACATTTCTCATAATAATAACAATGACTAGTGTATGTGGAGGTTAATAAAAAAGCAACTACATTTTTAATCATCATTAATTTTTATTTAAATTAAATAAATAATGAAATCTCCAAAATATAATAAGCAAAAACTTGTCGGCACAAGAGTGTCTTGTATATAAACCATTTCAGTAATCATTTCATAACACATCACTTGCCCGAAATGGAGACAAATGATATTATTTTACTTATCTAGTGACTAATTTGAACGAAACAATAACCCCAGTGACTAAATTCAGATTTTATATTAAGGCCTTCACGTCTCAATATAATAGACTATTTCCGCACCCCCAAAATGGTTATTGGAATCTCCCTTATTTCTCCCCAAGGTACAGTACAGTTTTTATTATGCGCGTATGTGAATGTATGTGTAAGTATATAAGAGACTGTATTTTGTTCTTTTGTGTTCTGATGGTGGCAGATCTTGAAGTTTTGTGGTGGGTTTTTACAGGGAAGAACATATTTCTGTAATCGGACACAAATATGTCCTCAGCTCAAGACCCTTTTTACATTGTCAAAGAGGAGATTCAAGAATCCGTAAGTATTTTCTTTGTTTCATTTTTACATCCCAGATCAATAGTTCATTTTATTTGCTGAATATTTTTAATCGCCTCTCTGGATTTTCTTTAATTCTACTTGGAGAATTGCGAGAGGAAAATAGAGTTGATTTGAACTGATGCAACGTCCTTGGTTTTTTATTTTTTATTTATAATATTCCTGTGGGTTTTGTGGGATTTTCTCATTTTTCAATTTGAGAATTATTCTATCTGCTGAGAGGTCCACTGTGATGCTAAGCTTATCGATTTGGTATTAAATCAAGAACGGGATGGTGGAAAGTTACCAAAAATGAAAGATGGAGAGCAAAAAAAAAAAAAAAGGATTAAAGCGACACTAATATGAATAAAGTTTGAATATGTAGCATTTATTTGGAAAAAAACATGGGTGAGTTTTGAATGTGAGGAGCTCCTTCTGTATCCCTTGATTTTCTAGTAAATCAGCTAAGTATGTTGCATAGTTCTAATCAAGTTTCGAAATGTTTGAAGCTTCGAAGTGTTTATTACTATTGTCTCTCTTGCATTGTTTGTTTAACTTAAGGAATGATAAAAATATGACATATGCTGTAAGTGTATCAGCACTTAAATTGTCAGTAGGAAAATTTTGCTCAATAAGATTGGGCTGGAGGGAATAGAGTGTTGTAGCTTGTTTTCTCCAGCTTTGAGATGGAATAAGTCGTATGGGATTGCTTGTCACATGGAAACAAAGGATTGAATATTCCATTTTGACCACTATGTAACCCAAACAACAACATAACTAAGTTTGATTCCCAATAAATTCAAAGTCGGTTGCATGAACCCTTTTTTGCCTTTCTGTTTGGTTCATAGTTTGAACAAGGTTTTATGCTTCGGTCAATCACTACAACCCTCTTAATGTACTGTGGCTTGGGACTAGTTATGAAAACATAGATGGTGTTTATATGGCCCAAAAATGTTTCAAATATAATTTAGCAGTCAAACTCAGTCATCCTACGGAATCAACTGATACACTTGTGCCAGATTTTATTTTCAGAATGTTTTCCAAGTTGTAGTTTGCATCTAGTCTCTTGTTGTGTGAATTTGTTGAAATATAAAACTGACACTTCGAGCCGGCTTGATTAGATTGATAAGTTGCTCTCAGCATATCACCAATGGGACCAAATGCTTTCTGACAATGGAGAGAAACTTCATATCTCTAAGGAGCTTCTTGGTGGTTGCGAGAGCATCGAGTGGCAGGTATGGATTTACATTTGATTCATTGGAGGTATTGGATTTTGCTTTTGGTATCTGATTGATCATACACCTTTGGACTGGTTGCCTTGCGAAGTTTGCTTCCATACTCATTTGGATGCATTTATTTGGGTGATGCCATTTCTGTGCTCTATTTTTACTTTTCACCATGCAACTTATTCCATTAGTTTGCAAGGGCCCACTGAATGTCATTATTTTAAACATTGTCTTTTTTCTCGACATCACCATCACAAAAGGGGAGGAGACGTTTAAAAGACGGGGAATCATACTAATCTTTTACCAATATCAGAGGTATTTTACAATTGAAATAACTATTACAATGAAACGAAAATTACAACTCAAACTTGAAGTAATATTTACAATGTGCGGCCGAAGTTGGGCAAACTGCGGCTGCGATAGTGTCAAGGGGCTAAGTAAAGCTGCGGTCCTTGACACCGTGTATTGCAAGTATGTTTTTTGGTTTCCCAAGTTTCAAGTTGTCTAAGGGATTGTTTTGATAAATAGGTTGGAAACATGAAAAAATCTGTAATGACTGGGAAGCAGTCAAATGGCACAAGCACTTCTGGAGGCAGAGCTTGACAAACGGAGAAGATGGACTACTAATGCTCGTATGCAGGTATCAGCTATAAACCACCCTTTTTATTATACTCGACTTCTCTAAGAGCATGTTTAACTAAACTTAGAGAAGTAAAAGTTATTTCTAAGTGACTTTCTCTAACACTGACTTGCTTATAAGCAAACCCTTTAAGCTTGGCCAAACATGCTCCAAGGTGTTGTAGAAGAACTGATACTTCTTTTTAATCATTGTTTTGATGCGCAAGTGAACCAGACCGTGTATTGCAAGTATGTTTTTTGGTTTCCCAAGTTTCAAGTTGTCTAAGGGATTGTTTTGATAAATAGGTTGGAAACATGAAAAAATCTGTAATGACTGGGAAGCAGTCAAATGGCACAAGCACTTCTGGTGTTAATGGAATGCGGCGTGAACTAATGAGACTGCCAAATTCTCATCAGAATGACAAATTGAACCAGTACGCTGCACAAGATAATGATGATTTCATATCCTCGGAATCAGACAGACAGCTACTTCTCATAAGGTGATATTGTTGTTAAAGACCTTCTCTTTCTTTTATCTGTTATACACCTAAATATAGAGCGTGTTTGGCTAAAAATTAGTGGCTGGCTTGTCTTATTTTTTTCCTTCTAATCTTATAGCATCCCAGCCCTTAATACTAGTCGTTAATTTTAAAATTATGACCCCTTTGTTAGAAGCTTATAATTTAGGGACCTAATTGATAGTTTACTATAGTTTAGATACCCATTTTTGCAGTTTTTTTTAAAAGTTGCAATTTCGTTCCTTTCTGCATCCCCCAAAAAATTGTTCTTATAAAGGATGTAATATTCATTCCTATTATGTCCATGTATGTACGCGTGTGTATATACATAATGAGGAAGAACCTAGAGCATTCATATAAATTTTAGGAAAACGGATATGAAGGTGCTTATTTGATTTGGGTGATTTATGTTATAATATAAATTATGTATGACTCTTAATTGAATATGATACCAAATAGAGATCCATTACATTTATAGGGCATATAGACGAGTTTGTTGCCCCGGCATCTTTACACCCCTGGCTCAAGCTCAGTAAATTTGGATGCGTATTAATAGCACTACTGATTTGTCAAGTAGAATTATCCCTTTTGGTGTTTCAATTTTTCTGATTTTGACTAGAATTGTGTAATGCAGGCAGCAGGATGAAGAATTGGACGAACTCAGTGCCAGTGTCCAAAGAATTGGAGGTGTTGGGCTCACTATACATGAAGAACTGACTGGACAGGTAATTGTTTAGCTTAAGCGCCACCACATATATTTAACAGAGAAATGATCTACTAAGCAAAGATGACATGATACATCAATTCTAGATAACGAACTTAATTCAAATATTGAGACATGCCATAGATTATCTACCAATGAATTGATGTGCCATGTCATCGTTACTTAGCATAAGTTAATTACCGGTGCTTAGTAGATCATTTCTCATAGTTAACATATCTTGGCAGTTGTACTTGTGACTTACAAATTAGTAGTACTTATCTTACGACGAATTTTCTTTGAGATCTTCCCAACTTGGAATTTATGCTTAAAATGAAAGTTATGCAATGCCTCAGGAAAAAATTATAGATGAATTGGGTACAGAGATGGACGGTACAGCAACTCGTCTTGATTTTGTTCAGGTGATTTTCTTCCCTTTGTGATTTATAGCCATGATTTCTCTTAACTGTTTCATCAGATAGATGAAAATATTCATTAGCAATCTCATTGTCATTTAAATTGCATCTCTGTGCAGAAAAAGGTTGCGATGGTAATGAAGAAAGCCGGTGCCAAGGGTCAATTTATGATGATTTTGTTTTTATTAGTTTTGTTTATTGTTCTTTTTGTGCTCGTTTTCTTCACATAGGCTAAGAGAAAAGCGACTTGGAAATCGAATTACACATGGTTTTGATTCACGAGAGTAGAATAAACTGGACGCGTTTTTAATCTGTGTAAATGTATTGTTTGTGGATTTGAAGTTTTGGTAAAAGGTAATTGTTTCGGCACAGGAGATTGATTATTTTTGTATTTATAAGATTTGATTGACCCATTTATTGTTATGCCATAGATTCACAATGCTTTATGGTCATATTTGGTGCGCAGTATTGGATTCGATTAGACTATTTTTTAATACTATTCGGTATTCAGTACGCTTCTACCTAACCAGACTAGCAGTCAGTGTATTATCAAGAAGCCAACAATAGGCAGATTTATGCCGTTTTTCCTTAGCTTAAAGCACGCAAAGGAAGCCAAAAGTGATGACTCTGTTGATTTTCTTGATCTGGTGATAGCACTGTCAAAGGAAGCTGATTTTCTTGTTTTAAGCAGAGCCAAACATGCTCTTAATGGTGAGTACTTAGAGTATTTCCAAATAATTTTTTAAATACAAAATACTCTCTATTTTAGAGAGTTAATGTTTAAAAATGAACTTTAAAGGACACTAATTTAACTTTATAAAATAGAGAGTATGTTTGACTCTCCAAATTTAGAGAGCCAACCCCACACTCTTCTTAATGTATAATGATTGCATTTAATACATTGCAAATTTCAATACTTTATAATTTAAAATTTTCAAATTATATTTGAATTGATTGGTCATTAATATTTTAAAAATTATATTTAAATAAAATATGTAGAGAAATTATTAAATGTTCATTGGAAAAAAAATAAAGAATCAAAATAGAGAGCTTGTTGGAGGAATAAAGAATCTCTCTAAATTTAAATATATGTTTTATTATACATAAGATACTTTTTTATAAATAGAGAGTCTTTTAAAAATGCTTTTAAACTGTTACTAATTTATGACTTGCACAATTTTGAATTTGTTGAATATCACAAAGTTCGAAAGAAAGATGTTACTGATTTATGACTCGCACAATTTTGAATTTATTAACGATCGTTTTCCTCTAAAAAATTATGGTAATGTGCTTTAAAATAAAGAGAAATTGTTGCACTATTGTATTTATTATTATTTTTTTGCTTATTTAAAAATACAAGAGAGTAAATTTTTTCAACCTAGCCTAGCCAAACTTTTGGGTGCAAATAGTCATTTGTGGTTCAACCCGTTAGCCACTCTTATCAGATATAGGGCTTTTTCTATAGAATTTATACAGAGGCTCTCCTTGTAGAGAGGGCCCCACATGTATTAAAAAAAAATAACGCGGGCCCCACTAATGTGAGTACCTGTAAAATATCTGACAAAAATAACCTTGTACACGTAGGATGGTTCTACTGGGGTATCCTTGTCAGATCGAAAATTCGACTAGGCAGATCTTGTGAAGGGCATTTACGCTCTGAAGCCCAGTGGACTTGAAATAAAAGTGAAAAGGGAAAATTAGGCTCAATACGCTGGAAACGAAAAAAATTAGATTAATGCATTAAAATGAATTAAACCTCACATAAACCGTAATTAATACGTCCTTACTAAAATCTCCAAACCTCAACACCCTCCAAAGAAACCTCTTCTCTCACGTCTCTCACTCCAACATATGATTCCAAAACCAAAGAGAAACCTCCTTCTTTGTCGTTTTGCTGTGGTCTTCATCACTCCACCATCTTTGCCATCTTCCTCTGTCTCCTCTCCAAGGACGAACCCGTAAAAGCCCCAAATTACATAAACCTCACCTCACTCCGACTCTGACTTCTGCAAACCAGCACCAACTCTGACCTTAACTTTTGCTAATTTTCACCTGACTAAAAAAAAAATGGCTGGAGAAAGTGAATTTAAGGAGTTGAAGAAAAAAGGATTAATGAAGAAGAATCTTCAGAGAAGAAAAAAATTTATTCAAAATTTTGTAAACTTAAGGTAGCTAAGATTTTTCATTGTTTAAACCATTTTTTATGGTTTTTATTCAATTTTTAGTAATATTGTTTTTGTATTCAAATATGGTTTTTGTAATGTTGTTTGTTCAGACTACTGGAAGAACGTTGTTTCTGGAATTCGATGTTAGTAGGGTATGTGAAATCGGGGAGATTTAGTAATGGCTCAAAGTGTGTTTGACGAAATGCCAGAGAAGGATGTTATATCTTGGAATGCAATGGTTTCATCAATACACCATCCCCTTTGGAGCGCCTCATCTCTCTCTACATCTCTGCGTTTCTCTGTCTAGAAACACATTCTAAATTCTCATCTATTGAACTTGGTATGCAATATATATATACTCCTTTTATCAGTTTGCTAAAAGGCAAAATCTAAATTTCTGTTCAAATCATAACTTTACCAGCTCAAAGTGTGTTCGATGAAATGCCAAAGAAGGATGTAATATCTTGGAATGAAATGGTTTCTAGTTATGCAAGGGGCAGGGATATGCATTGTTTCAACAGATGCCAAGGAATAGTTTTGCTTCCTGAAATGCTATGATCTGTGGGTACCAAGATTGCAGGAAGATAAAATTAGCATGCAGATTTTTTGAAGCAGTGCCCCAGAAGTACAACGTTTCCCATATTACAGTGATTTTCGGGTACTCAAAATATTGTCCGAGTTTGGTAAACTGTTTGGTCAGTATGCAAACTGTAGGATATGTTATGATTTGAAGACCGCAAAAAATATTATTCGATTAATAGTGAAGAACGTTTATATGATTTTTTGATATTTACATCTTAGTTTAGTCATCAATTTTCATTAGTTGTGACTTGTGAGCTTACTGTAAACTTGGTTGCATTTTTTTGAATTCGTCACTTTTTTTTGAATTTTCGTCATTTTTTAATGTTTGTCACCTTCTTGATTTCTATCTCTTTTTTAAATTCACCACTTTTTTTAGTGTTCGTCACTTTTTTAATTTGTCACTTTTTTGAAATTTTGCCACTTTTTTTTGAAATTTTGTCACTTTTTTTTATTATTCATTACTTTTTTTAAGTCAACTTCTTGAAATTTTTATCACCTTTTCAATGGCAAACATCATTTTTTTTTTAAATAAAAGTGAGATTGTATGTCATTTTTTAATAAAAAAGTGACACCAAACTTTTAAAAGTGACATTGTGTCACTTTTTTTGAGTTTTAATGTCACCTTCTAAGTTTTTATTACTTTTTTAAATATTTGTCACTTTTTGAAGAAGATAAAAAAGTGACATAATATGTTATATTTTCCTCACATAATTAGGACATTAACAATCCACATGTTGATTATGTTAAGAATCGTCACTAAACTCACGTGAAGTGTCATAGATATGCTGATTATATTAAGAATGTGATTAATGGTGCTGTCCAAATGGATGATGCTATTTTGGTGTTTCTCACTTTTTTAGTGTTCGTGTCACTTTTTTTGCGTTTGTGAAAAAAGAAAGTGACAATTTTTATAAAAAAGTGACATTGTGTCACTTTTTTCATTTTACACAGTATTTTTTACTTTCTAAAAACTTTTCATATGATTTTTCAAAACAATTCTAATTTTAAGGGTATTTTTGTAAGTTGCCCAAGTGAAAAACCAAACATTATAGGCCCAAACTACCGGTCCATATTTAAACAGTGAAATTTGCTACTTTCCAGTCCCTGAATTATTGACTCTCTCTTGGCAAGTTTCAGGAAGAACCCTAGCTAAGACTTTCACCAGCACCAAGGTACGATTTCATTATTTTTAACAATTTTGTTTTTTCTAAATATCTTATGTTATCATTTCCCAACTGCGATCCATTTTCCCAAAAATTTGGCTTTGCACAGTCCCTTTACCGAGTTTCTCTCCGTTTCAGTGCTCTGTTTCAGTTTAGTTAAATTTTAAAAATCCCTATTTTACATTTTTTAGATCAAGCAAGTGCCTCTGCCAGGATTTTATTGGACAGTACACGGCATAAGATTCTGTTGCTATGTTGGTTTTGAAGGGAAAAATGTAGGAAGATCACCATGATTTTTTCGGGTTTGACAGTTTTCCCCGAAAACAATATATGCGGCTTTTGCTACATACTTTCCATAAAGATAGTAGGATAGGAACGTGCTTAACTTTCTCAACATAAAAATGTCTTCCAATGTCTCCAAAGATGTTAATATTTTAACCAGTAGGGCAGAAATGTGCCTAATCTTTTTCATATATAGTGAGCAAATGTACCTAATATTTCTTAAAAGGTAAAGCACTCTTCTCTTTGCTTTTTCTTCACCTCCATATATCCTTGCTATTGTTCCTCTTTTTTGCGATTTCATTACTCTTAATGCTACAATGGAAAGTTTACTCCTTTCTAATCATAGATGTAGAAATTGCACATGGATTTTGACTTGATGCTGCAAATGGTTTACTTCAGCAAATGCTTGGGGTACTAGAAGACTGGGAAAGGAGGATGAGGGAAGCGTTGAAGGTTAAGGAGGTAGAAATTATGTGAGGATGGTGAAGATTTGTAGAATTGTTATGTGATGAACAAGGAGATGGTATTTATAGTTATTAGTGTGTTGTTGGGCCACAAGAGTATTTACACCACTATGGAGGGGAACAATCTGAGTAAAAATGATAAACTACCATTTTTGGGCCACCAAATGGTCTTTGTTGGTAGTTTTATTTTGTCATTTTCTTCTGGTTTGCACCAAGTGCTTGACAACTGGCAATAGTTTTGGATATTGGACAAGGCTCTGGTTTTGAATTGAATCACTTTGAGATGTTGGTGAGGTTGATAAGTAATATGCCATTACAATTGTAGAGTGTAGAGTGTAGATCACCAATGGCAGATAACAACCCAAAGTTGGTGTCTGATCTGTACCGAACAATAATTATAAAACTTGCCTTGTCTTTTCTTGAATAGAAAAGGTGACATCTTGCTAAAGAAATTAGAATTGTTCAAGAAAAGAAAATTGATATCTTGTTAAAGAAATTAGAATTGTTGAACTATAAAGTTTCATGGACAAAGCTAAATTACAAAACTTATCTCATTCTATGTAATTTTCTTTTCACTTGTTCCTGTAAGTACATTACTAATTCTAGTGCCATTGCTTTTTCTATGTTCATGTATTTGCATGCTTGTTAAATGCATTCAATCCATCACAATTGGTTATCACACGATCCATTGACAAAGGTCACTATCTTGGAAAACTCCGATATTTTCTTATTTCTATCTCGTCTGGTTTTGTTTTAAATCCACTTTAACATTTTCATCACTCTTCATGGCCCAATATCTGGTTCTATATAATATTGCAAATCTTATATTCTATTGAATTTTTTGTTTATTCTTATAGGGATTTTCCAATTACACAAAACCCAAGATGCCGTTCACCATTTTACTTGACCAAAACATCATATTTGATAACTTCCCATATAAATTACTGAGCATAAGTATTAGAGCCTTCAGATTAATTATGTTTGATCTGATGGAACTTAGTGACAGCCAGTTGGATACTATCAAAGGTTTATTCGAGAAATGGAAGGAGTTAGCATCTGGAAACAGTAGAAAGGTCTGCATCCTGTTATTTCTGAAAAGGTAGTCAAAAGGATGACCAGGGTTAATGGAAGTCAAATGGTTGATCTACATTTGGTGTTAGTTGAATGCTCAATGAATGTAGTGTCCAAGGAAGTAAAGAGGGATTCTGAAAGTCCCATGAATATGGTGTTTGTCGCTATAAATACGATCACGAGACAAACAAATATTTAGCTTCTCTATTCGTATCTTCACTTTTACACACTTCAGCATCATTTTTAATTTCAAAACTAAGTCCACCCCATATTGTGTCAAAGCCTCTATCTTCCTACATATTAATTGCTGTGTCTCAGACAAAGTATCTCCTGTAGTATAATTCATACTAATCCCTCCATATCCTCCCTAAATTTCTCCTTTAACTCCCAATCTCCTATTCTAATTTCTGTGGCACTAGCACTCACAGTTTATATTTGTTATCTTTCTCTCTCTATATATAAATAAACATAGATGCAGATATATAGTTTCATATAGATAAATAGTTGCTGTCTGTGGCCACTGAATATATCTTGGCAGAGAGTGCATAAGGATTGGTTTACCAAAAGTGAGGACTGAGGAGTGAAAGACATAATTCTCCTTTTCTTCTATTTGATATCCTTATCGTAGCCAATCTACCGCAATGTCCCCGTTTTAATTAGCTGCCATGAGTGAGTTAGGTCCTTAATTGTTTGAACAAATTCTAATAACCTTCATGTAGTGGGCTAGCTAAATTAGTTCGTGGATATATGTGCATATGTGGATGTTCATCTGTAATGATGTTGATTGTATTGACCTTTTTAAATTTGATTATTTATTTGGTGGATAACAAATGAGGGATTCTTTCTTTCTTTCCACTCCCCATATTTTCCCTATTCTACTTTTTCCCTTTTTCATTGAGGGGGACGTAACGTTTGTGTTTGCTAGTTCTCTACGTAGAAAGCAGAAGTGAAGATGCAAGTTGAAAGTTCTCTGTCTGTGGTTGGTCCAAGGCCAACAGAGTTGTCAACTACGATGTATAATGGCGGCCCACCAGTGCCTGGACCAAATGGGAAACAACGGAGTTCAAGCTTGGAGTCACCAATCATGCTGCTAACGGGGCACCAAAGTGCAGTCTACACAATGAAATTCAATCCAGCAGGGACTGTTGTTGCATCTGGTTCTCACGATAGGGAGATTTTCTTGTGGAATGTTCATGGTGAATGCAAGAACTTCATGGTCTTGAAAGGGCACAAAAATGCTGTGTTGGAAGTGCAGTGGACTACTGACGGCGCACAAATAATATCGGCCAGCCCTGATAAGACATTAAGGGCATGGGACGTTGAGACAGGGAAACAAATAAAAAAGATGATGGAACACTCGTCTTTTGTGAATTCTTGTTGTCCTGCTCGAAGGGGCCCACCTCTTATTGTTAGTGGGTCGGATGATGGGACTGCAAAACTTTGGGATATGAGACAAAGGGGTTCCATACAGAATTTTCCTGATAAATACCAGATTACGGCAGTCAGTTTCTCTGATGCATCTGATAAGATTTACACTGGTGGCGTTGACAATGATGTGAAAGTGTGGGATATACGGAGAAGTGAGGTTATTATGAAGCTCCAAGGACATCAAGATATGTTAACTGGAATGCAATTGAGTCCAGATGGTTCTTACCTTCTGACTAATAGCATGGACAACACTCTTCGAATATGGGACATGCGCCCCTACGCGCCACAAAATCGTTGTGTGAAGATTTTGGAAGGGCACCAGCACAATTTTGAGAAGAACTTGCTGAAATGTGGTTGGTCACCTGATGGAAGCAAGGTTACTGCTGGTAGTAGTGATCGCATGGTCTATATATGGGATACAACTTCTCGTCGCATATTGTATAAGCTTCCTGGCCATACTGGATCAGTTAACGAGTGTGTGTTCCATCCCAGTGAGCCTATCATTGGCTCCTGCAGTAGTGATAAGCAGATATATCTTGGTGAAATCTAAATGACTTTCTGTAATTTCTCCATTTTTTTTCGTATGGTTGTAAGGTGAAAACAGTAGCTGACAGTTGAGACCAATTTGAGGACTAATGAAGGTATTGTGGAAATTGTTACTAGTTTTGTTTAATATTTGATCTTTGGCATTGATAGATGTTACATTTAGCAGTTACGGCAGGAGAATTTGTTGTAACATGTATTGTTGGTTAATGTTGTAACACGGATTATAAATTTAGACTATGGCTCGTTTGACCTGATTTCTCCCTTTATTTCAACCTTTTGTAGAAAAGGTTTTTGAGGAAACTACATTTTAATTGATGCTTGGAAAGGTCATGCCAACGGATCATACATTTATCCCAATCAAGATTAAGTTAATAATCCAATCAAGATTAAGTTTTAATTCATTTCAAACTTTGTAAGTGCTTGTGTAGAATTTTCGACGTTCTTCAATGTTAGAGTTGTGTAAAGTACGAAAGGACAAATAAAAAGGAAAAAATTTGCTAGCGTATAATACAAGGATGGAACTAGTGGTTAAAGTTATATTGTCCTGGTTTGAGCCTCATTCTTAAAAAAAAATTCATTTTTTTGAAACTCATTTTTAATTATACATTCTTTTAGTAAATTAATTTTACACATAAATATAAAAATTTTCTCTATTTTTTAACTACAAGTTTTTTCAAAAAATCACTGTTATAAAATTTATTATTGCAAAAAATGCCCCTCAAACAAGGGTTTCTTTTTGTATCAAGAAATATGGTAAAAGCCATCAACATAAGTGCAATAAGTAGAAGCTAACAAAAGACAACTGAAAATAATTATTTTTCTCTAATAATCCTTGTTAGTAGAAATATTCATTTGAATTCATCAAATGAAAATGAATGGCCCCAACGGTGGTGGGGGCCCAATAGTCATGGCCCACTACTTGTCCGTTCGTTAACGGAAAAGTCAAGTAAAGAATCTAACCCTGAAACGGGCCCAGGCTCCTCGTTGACTCCTTCAAAACTACGCCGTATAACTCTACAAAAAGATCTCCCACTATCAAGAGACAACCGAAAGTAGCACACGGCTTCATTTCAAGCACACAGCCACACACACTACGGAAGCACTGAGTTTGAGACCACGATGTCTTTGTTGTTGAATAATCCAGTGAATTTTCAGTACAATTCAGACGTCCGGTCTACGGAATTCTTTGTTACTAAACGGTGGCGTTCTGGGGCCAATTCTCTGGGATATAGCAACAAGTCTTTTCATAGTATTATCAATATCGGTAATTGTCGTAGTATCAATGGCAGTAAGAGTAAAATTATGTGTGAAGCAGTTTCTGTGCAGCCAAAAACTGAGATTGAAGGCCTTAACATTGCAGAAGATGTAACTCAGGTGGGGTTTTCGGGTTTTATTTCATTTATCATTTTCCAAACTTGAAGTGCGGTTCAGTATATTTTTATTTTATCTTTTGTGCGGCGCGTTTTCTATTCTTTTCGTTTTTGTTTTAGCTTTCTTTTAGTTTGAATTAAATTTTAACTTAGTGTTGGAATTTTTTATTTTTTATATTTTTATTTATTTATTGTTTAGCATTTCTAGTAAGAAAAGCTGAGGAAATTGGTTGTAGCGGTGTTAATATACTCAGGTGACTTCATAGTCCTAGTTAATTTCGAGAAAATGAATTAATCTCTGATCATTGTTTAATGCTAAAATCAGTTGTCAGATAATTAGAATGATTCCGGGATTAAATAGAGACCTCAATACGAATTAAATGGAGTTATAATTGAAAGGTTAATCTAAGTTTAATTGTTTTGGGGCCATTTTTCTTGGGATAAAATGAATAGAGAAAATGAAAATTTCTACTTGTGCTGAAGAGGGTTGGAATCTTTGGAGAACTTTGTTGAGGTCGACTTATTGCTTACATGTTTTGCTGAAATGAATTTACACTGATGGTGAATGAATGTCAAAATTATTCTTGAAGCCTTGTGGTTAGGTTGAGGCTATAATTTTGCCTTGAAAAAATTTATATGGCCTTCGTTATATTTGACACACAAAGATAGAATGATATGAAAATTTATAATATAGTTTAGTTAGCGTTTATCTAAAGGTTTTTTTATTCCCTTGGATATTATTTTAAACTACCTTGATAGAAATCCTTAAATTTATCTATTAATTCTTATTTTTTCACTATTGACACATTGATGCAGCTTATTGGGAAGACACCTATGGTTTACTTGAATAATATTGTAAAAGGTTGTGTTGCTAACATAGCTGCGAAGCTAGAGATTATGGAGCCATGTTGTAGTGTCAAAGACAGGTGAGAACACTTCTGGTTTATTGTTTAAGATTTTGTAAATGTGAACAAATGCATTTATTGGTTGCTTCCTGCCTTCTTGATATTTTTCAACTTCCAACTATACTTCAAAATAAATCCTCAAGATAAAGTGGTTAGCTGTCTATTATAATTTACTCCAATCCGTATCTATAGTATATAGTATTTGAGTTTCACTCAATTTGTTTGTGGTTTGACATACAACCTGTGAAGATTAGGATCTTGATTTCTGACATGATTGAGCTTAGTATTTACTTGGTTATATTGCTATTTCTTGTTGGTCGATGAAATTCTTATTTTTGATACAAGGTTCTAAGTGTGAGAAACTAATTATGATCTATAGTGCTTCTATGATGTCCGATTTTTTTATTTTTCTTACTTATTATCTTTTCTTTCAGGATAGGATACAGTATGATAGCTGATGCTGAGGAAAGAGGGCTTATAACTCCTGGGAAGGTAAGACTCGTGTCAAAATACATTCCTAATTCTATAAAGGTTTGACTTCTTTATCCACTTGTCCTCTTCTGCTGACCCACCAAAAAAAAAAAAAAAAAAAAAAGAAAAAAAAAAGGAGGATATACGGGAAAGTGTAATATATACAATAATTGAACAGTTGACTTTATCTTCCTTTTTCAGATTTGCTCGCTCTTTATAACTTATTACATTTATTTTAATAATGTCAGTGAGATCAATTACTGCCATTGACATCCTATAAAACTTGAGCCAGAATTTTTTTGATTGCATATCTTTTGCAATGTAGATAAATAGCATCCATGTCCTACGTGATTGCTACGTGCATGCCAATATAATGCTGCTGTTCTGGTGGATCGTTATTTCTGTGTATGTCATATTTTCAGTTGTTCTGCACTCTTACTATTTCCTACTTCAGCCCATTCTGATGATTCTGGTGTAACATTGGCTTGTCGGCCTTTAAATTATTAGTTCAATTGAGTGAAGAGATTGTAGATTTTTCACAAGCTTGAGTATTTTCAAATTGACCATCTTGAATTTTTCACATTCAGTAGCTTGATGAAAATGGCATATAGCCTAAAATGTTTGTAAGGCTTGCTATGTTTGGATTCGGCTCCCAACTTATTCTCCTAGGTGTGGTTTTGCACTTGTTTCTTGGCTTCTAATCATATTGTGTTGATCAGATTGCTTTTGATTTTAGCTTTTTGCTGCTAAAGGTCAACTGAATACCCCTTTATTATTGCTTGGTCTGGTTTTGATCTTATTTATCACCATATAGTTGGCAATGCTATATTACTTGCATCTGGTACAGTATTTATAATGTGAATCTATTTTTATGTTAGAGTGTTTTGGTTGAACCTACGAGTGGAAACACTGGTATTGGGCTCGCATTTATTGCTGCTTCAAAAGGATACAAACTCATCTTGACAATGCCTGCTTCAATGAGTCTTGAGAGAAGGGTTCTTTTGAAAGCATTTGGAGCTGAACTTGTTTTAACTGATTCAGCCAAAGGCATGAAAGGAGCTGTGCAAAAAGCTGAAGAAATATTGAGTAACACCCCCAATGCGTACATGCTTCAGCAATTTGACAACCCTGCAAATCCCAAGGTTCTTTTGCCTTGCTCCAACTTGTGCTCTGATAGAGTCAATTTTCTTTGCTTTTTTCCTTTTGGGTCAATCAATGGATTATATTATCAGTTGAAGCCATTTGGACTCAAGTTGTGGTTTTAAGCACCCTCCAAAACAAGTCAAGTGTCTGTGGCAAGTAGATTCATGTCTTTTGCCTTTTCTGCCAGATTTCATCTTTTTGTGCTCTATATTTAGCCCCTGTTTGAGCTCCATTTTAGAAAAATGTATTTTTCTCTTTCTTATTTTCAACCACACATTCTCCAATAAAATAATATTACACATAAACATAAAAGTCTTTCTTATTTTTT